GAGCGCACGCAAGCACATGGGGAGGGGAGGGGCAGAGGGAGAGAGAGAATCCCAAGCCAGCTCCATGCCCAGCATTGAGCCTGATGTGGGGCTTGATCTCATGACCTCGAGATCACGACTGGAGCTGAAATCAAGAGTCAGATTCCCAACCGATTGAGCCACTCAGGTGCCCCTGTGGAACTTCTTTTAAAACAGCACTCAGAATGTAGGTGTTGGCACACATTCTTAAATAATTTACTTTATGATTATTTTAGTAATGAAGTCAGCTAGGCATCTTCTGAAAAAATGTGTTGATTATAAACTTCCGAGTATACATTCATAGTAAAGTGACCCTTTGGGCATAAACGGCATTTATCTAGAAGGCTTCTGCAAGCTGGACTTTTGTTCCCCTGGTAGAGTTGGGGAGCTCTGGCCTCCAAAAGGTGTTCTTGAATTTCCCTAGCCAAAAGCTTCTTCTCATATCAACCATAAAGTCATGGTATTCATCACTTTAATCCTTAGTGGTATTACATTAATTGATGTCCTGTCTCTACTGCTAATGGTAAACCTCTTTTTTTTTTTTTTAAGATTTATTTATTTTAGGGGTGCCTGGGTGGTGTCAGTTGAGTGTCTGACTCTTGGTTTCAATTGGGGTTGTGATCTTGGGGTCCTGAGATCAAGCCCCGAGTCGGGCTCCATGCAGAGCATGGCGTCTGCTTGGATTTCTCTATCCTTCTCCCTCTGCTCCTCACCCCCCCCCACCATGCTCTCTTTCTCTAAAGGGAGAGAGAGAGAGAGCATGTGAGTGCACAAGTGGGGGAGTGGGGGGAGGGGCAAAGGGAGAGGGAGAGAGAATCCTCAAGCAGGCTCCCCACTGAGTGCAGAGCCCAATGTGAGGCTTGATCCTAGGACTCTGAGATCATGACCTGAGCCGAAATCAGGAGTCGACCGCTTAACCAACTGAACCACCCGGGTGCCCCTAAATGGTAAACCTCTTAAGGGCGGGAAGAGTGTTTATCAATGAATAACAAAAATAACATCTGGTCCCTTACTGCTTTGAACAGTGAGTATTTTTGAATGAGCAAATAAATAATTGTGTCCATGAGGAGGTGACCCGAAAAGAGAAAAATGAGGTTGTTAAATTACTTTATACCATAGAATTAGTCATAACCCATTTCAAGATGGAGTAGGCATAGAAATCATGTAAGTACAAATCCTCCATAGATAGATTAGCAAATGGAGGACTAAATCAACTAAGGTCTTATAGTCACTTACGTAGTGGTTCCATGTTGGCACTTTCATTTAAAGAATGGTCAAAACTAAGCCTTATATTACTGGCCTCATGTGCTGTGGCTGCAGAAATCGAGGTCTGGCCTTGGCATTGCCAGGACCAGTGGAAATATATTTAGAGCTACTTTGCCAGTTCTAATTCTCACCTTCCATTTCTTACGGTTGCCAAAGAATTATGACTTCAGAGAGTTTTTTTTTTTCTCCCTACTTTAACGTATTGGATTTTGATAACAGCTAAAACCATTGTATTGTCTGGGGCTGTCTGAGAACTTAGTAGATCATCCTGCTGTACCAGTGACTAAGTGCAAGGTCTCTGGATTCTACAACCTGACTTCTGGGATCAGATTTCAGCTCCTCAGCTTACTAACTGTGTGATGTTGGACAAGTTACTAAACTTAAGTGCCTCTGTTTTCTCATCAAAAATTGAGGTTGGGTCATAATAGTAACTATCTTATAGAATTGTTAAGATAAATTAACGAGTTCATTATTAAGGCTTTCCTGGAACATTGGAAATGGTCAATAAATGTTAGCTGTTATGATGGTCCTGGCATACCAAATGGCTTGACCCATCTTTATCCAATCATCATTTTCCTTTCATTGGTAAGGGGTATGTTTACTGAAATTCTCTCTGAGATTTAATAATAAAGATAATGCTGGAGATCACATTTCAGCAGTATCTGGAAGGTTTGGATATGTAAACATTGACTATAAGGTCTTCCCAGATCGAGGAAATGGTGTGAATAAACTCTGATGGGGAGAAATGTGGGGTTGTCTCAGGAATAGTAAGGAATTCAGGTTAGCTGCAGTGAAAGGTGTCCTGTGGGGAGAAGTGGGAGATTAGGTAGGAGATTAGGGATTAGCCCATGGAGGCCCTGAGATGGCAGTCCAAGGAGTTTGGATTGGGGGCCTTTGAGTTCAGAGATCCCTTTTGCAGCAAAGTAGAGAGTGGAGGGATTAGAGGGAATGGGGTGGAGGTAAGGGGACCAGATAGAAGGTGGTTAAGTGAGTAGGAATAAAGAGGAGGAGGATATGGTCTTGATAACACTTTGGAATTTATGCAAGGGATGAGAGGGCATAACCTAAGTGCCATTAACAGAAATAGGGTTTGGGATGGAGAAATATGATTTCAGTTTCATGAACATCAGTTTGAGGTACAGGTGGGACAACCCAAGAGAATCATCCCTTTGATAGAGATTCAGAACTGGAACTCAGGCAAAAAATTCAGTATTAGAGATAAAAAGCTGAGAGTCATTTCCAGATGTGTGACAGTGGTTAAGGACATGACAATATATGAAATTCCCTAAGACTGCACCCATAGACTCAAAAGAGATCTTACACTTTTTGGAGGAGAGATAGCTAAGGCAAGAAGCAGTAAACATGGTGACCTAAAATTCTGGGGCGTAGGAATTCAGTTCAGCTGCTGTTGTGTGTGACTTAGAGCCTTTCTTTGCTTTTCCTACAGCGCTTTCCAGTTTTTAAGCCTGCTCGTGAACCACAGGAGGAACTTCCTACTTCCCTTTTCCCAATCACATACTGATGGCCAGTGACCCTCCAAGTTCCTTTAATACTAGGCAGAGAATTAGGCTCAAATTATGAAATTCTAAAATGGCAATATAAAATTTACATATTTCATATTACAAAGTTAGAAGACAGACTCTGAAGAAATAAATTTAAATTTAAAAAATTTCAAGACCAAACTGTTTTATAACCCTTCATTTTGTATGTGGTTTTCAGTGGGTATAAAAATACTCAGTGGGTGTGTGGGTGGTTTCTCGTGTTTTGGAAATGGTGAGAATATGAGATGCTGTGCATTGGGTTCTGGGATGAGAGCTATAATTACTAACTCTGATTCTTTCCCAGGATTGGCTCATGGGTGGATATCTATCTGAATCTAAAAACCCAACAATGCAGAATCCACAGTAATAAACCACTCCCCCCGCCTCCCCCGCCCCACCGGAAATGAAAAGAATTGTTGTGGTGGGGAAGAGGGGGGAGTGTAGGATGATGGTTCTTCCCTGCCTTGCCTCCTTTCAGGCCATTCACTGACTGTTCAGGTCAGAGATGCAGCTCAACTGAAGGCTGGTGTGGTGGCATCTCCCGGCCTGATGCTCAACAGCCACCGCACAGCTGTGGTGGAAAGAGTTCTAAATATAACCCAGACTCATTTCAAATCCTCCTCCCCCAAGTCTTGGAGGATGTGGTAAACACCCTAAAAATACCTGATGTCTGAACCTTTGAGGTATGGAAGAGGAAGGGGCAGGTGGTAGAATGAGGTCCATGTGGTGGTGTGAGGAGGCCTGGCCAGCTACCAGGCCTGCTGCCCATGGGGGCCTCTGCCCGTGGGGGCCTGCCACCAAAGCTGCTTGGGGAGCTTTCGACCATGCCATCCTGTTCAAGGATAAGTGCCTACTCTTGAGTCTCATATTCATTGTTGGCAGGTTTCAAGGAAACTATTCATAGACTAGGCATCTGCTCTCTGTCCCATTGACCTCAAACCTGCAGCTGCCACCATGGTATTCGGGCAGTGTGCCGGTTTTTAGTTGTATTTCACAGAATTAGAATTCTAGAGCGGCAAGGACCTTAGCCATTATGTTGTTCATAAAACATTCCTTTAAAATCATTGTATTTAGGGAGTCCTATTTCTCTGCCTAGATGGTGACCATAGTGATGTGAAAATGGAGTCTCAGTCCTTGACTATTAAAAGAAATCACTGTCATCATTATGTAACAAATAGAAGAATAATGAAAACCAATCTTTTAAAAAATATCATTGAAATGATCCTGTGCAAAGCTTTTTCTTTTTTATTAAAAAAATAGGGTTTTGAGACTCATTTTCTCATTCAAACTTCAGTATTTTGAATATTAAAGATCACTGGTAACAGAGCCAGAAAGAACACGACGAGTCTTGTTTTCAAGGAGGCTTTCAATATCTAGTTTCTGGAATCCCAAACCATAACCATGATGTTGTAATTGAAGGACCATAGCTCACCTCTGTTTTCTTGGGAAAGAAAGTTTTCATAGATTAGTACATATGAGATGCATTCAAAGTCATGGAGGCAGTCAGCACCATTATAAAATAGCATGAATCATCCACGTTTTTAAGTGTATGATAACTACCTTATCCCAGTCTCCTTCAGTAAACTCTGAGAAGGCCCAGTGAGTGCAGAGCCTGTGTTGGGTGCTGCGCAGGGGAAAGCAAAGATGCCCCAAAAAGCCTGTATAGCTGATGGTGGAGACAAGACCAATTCAAGAGCTGAATAGTTTTAAATATGTTGCATTTATGGTGGTTACAGAATTTTTATAATTGTAACAAGTATGTATCTTCCATTCTGAGGGTCTCAGAGTTCCTTCTGTATCTAAAAGAGTGTTACTTATTTTACACTCTGGATTGAAAGTAAATTGAAAATTTTTCTTGAATTCTTGAAGCCATCAACATGGTTTTTTTTTTATGTCACTTAATGCATATCTGAAATAGCCACCTCTAGAAGCTCATATTTCCCTGGACCAGGACACTTGTAACCAGAAGTGAGATTCCTTGGGAGAGAGTCTGCTTTGGGAGTCAGTGTGATTTTGTGGAAGAGCAACTGAAGGCAAGGAGGATGTGGGTTTAGAGGGAATCTTCTTTTTCCATGCAGTTAAGAAGAGGGGGAGGGAGAGGGTACTATCCACAATGTGTGGTAACTCAGGTGGCATAGTTCATGAATTCTCAAACCTTTCCCTCTGAAATTCCAGAATGAAGAGCTTCGGAACTTGTCCCTTTCTGGACATGTTGGATTTGACAGTCTCCCGGACCAGCTGGTCAATAAATCTACTTCTCAAGGATTCTGTTTCAACATCCTGTGTGTTGGTAAGTGACTCATCTCTTGCTGCTGAGCAGGGAGTCTGATCCTTAGGTGTTGGCAGGTGACTATCAGAGGGGCACATTTCAGGGAAATAGGGCAATGATATTTTTACTTTTCTTTCTTTCATTAGTAAAGTAAGACAATAATACACACTGTATATATGTCACATAGTTACACAGATTGAGACTTGTATTTGGTAAATGTTTCATAAGCTTTGCGATGTTACTCAAATTGTTATTTTTATTTGTGTCACACATTCAAGTGGTCAGTTCAGTATTGTTATTAAAACACTTATTTTAATTTTTGGTGGGGGGAGGGACTTAGATCCTAACTAGACTATAGGAAGTAGAAAGAAGGAAGTGATATGAACACACATAGTAAGATCATTCAAAAGCATTTTTAGAATTTATGACTACAGTGCAATAGTAACCTCCATTGAAGTCTTTTCAAAGATATACAACCTAATATAAGTAAAACCTGAAATTACTCTAACTTCCTTAATAAACATAATGTTTACATTTTTGATTTTTAGAGCAAAAGAATTTAAAATTCTGTTTTATATTTGAAATAAATTTTCTGCCCAAATTATCAAATTAAACTTTTGTCTTTAAATTGGAATCTAAAACTGACTTAGTTTATTCCTGGTAGATAAATGGAAAAAACCCCAAGAGAATTGATTTATCTGTCTCCTCAGTATGTTTTATTCATATCTTGTAGATGTTGTACATTAGTCTAGGCCTCTGGCCTTGGTATTTTTCTTCTTTCTAGCCATATCCTTTTTAAAGGAAAGGCAGAAAAGAAGGTGGGGGGCGGGGAGAGGAAAATAGAAGTATAAATCTGTTGGGTTGAAGCAGAGATGCCCCTGGCACAGATAACGGCCTTTCCTTCTTTGTCAGTCCTGATGAATGGCCAGGCTGTACAGCAGTGAAATGGTTTGGGCTGCATTGTTTTGTTGCCATTGTCCTCTTGTTCTCTGGGTGTATGTTTCGGAGACATCACTCTGAGCTAGACCAGAAGAAATTACATATGTAGCCAAGTGGACCATCCTTCCCCTAAGCTTGGCAGAATGTACCAGACTTATTTCTCTTGTCCAAGTAAAATGAAGTGAATTTTAAAAAGGTAGGCATTGAATATAAGAACCACCATTTTAAAAATTTGTTAGTTATTAGGGGAAGGGCCAGATATTTTCTTTTTCAAAAAACCTGAGCATATTCAGTGTAGCCCCTGTATTGGGTGTTCATTTGTAGAAAGCCACAAACGACTTGTACACTATAGACCAGCTTGCACTCTGGCGTTATGTCTGAAAGCGCTGGATAAGACAATAACTGGAGAGAAACATGACCAAAGAAGCCAGCTCTCATGCATTCCCCTTTCCCCTACATGAAGCTGTTTAAAATTCAGCAGGGGAGCTCCTAAATGGCAGCTCGTTCTACAGAGTGGCATAAATGAGTTGTCTTTTCTCTTAGGGTAAATGCTCATTGCAGAGCAGGGCAATTCTTCATTAGCGTAGCAATTTGTTGGCAATTTGTTGATTTTCTATTGAAAAGCGTGCTAAATTAGAGGACAGTTACTATTCTGGCTTCTCTTCCCTGCCTCCCTCAGCCCTGTCTCCAAAATCAGCTTCAAGAATACATGTGAGAGTTATATCCCAGCCCCTGCATGTAGGATAATGCCTTTCAGTGGGATTGGGTTTGCTGGAAGGACCTGTTTTGACCTGGTGTGTGGTGTGCAGTGGGGTGTATTGGCTCATTGGCTGACCCTGTGTGTTCAATAGCACAATTATGATGCCAGTTGGAATTCATCACAAGCCACATCCACATTGCCCAGATGGATCTGTAAAGCAGCTGCTATTCTGACTGTACTGGGTAGGTGATAATGCCTATGATTTTTAGATTTTTATTCTGGGCTCATTCTTAAACATGTTTAAAATTAGTTTTTTAATTTAAAATAATACATACTTGTTTTTTAAAAAATTATAAGCTCTCCCTGCCCCCTTTCCCCTCCTGCCCTCATTTCCATTCCACAGAGGTAGCACTGTGGAATCCTTCTAGAAATCTTCTACATTTTTCTGTACTTAAAAAATTATTTTTGGTGGCTTAAAACAACACTGGCTTATTATCTTACGGTTCTTTAGAAGTCCCATATGTGTCTTACCAGGCTAAAATTAAGGCATCCACAGGGCTGAGTTTCTTTCCAGAACCTCTGGGGGAACACACATTTCCTTGCTGTTGCCAGCTTCTGGAGGCCGCCTGCATCCTTGGCTTGTGGACCCTTTCCTCCATCTTCAAAGCCAGCAGTGTTGTGTTTCTCTCTGTTTTTGTATTAGGAAAATTTCCACAGAGAATTCCAGAAGTCCAGTTTAAAGATTTTTTTTTTTTAAAGATTTTATTTATTTATTTGAGACAGAGAGAATGAGAGAGACAGAGAGCACATGAGAGGGGGGAGGGTCAGAGGGAGAAGCAGGCTCCCTGCAGAGCAGGGAGCCCGATGCGGGACTCAATCCCGGGACTCCAGGATCATGACCTGAGCCGAAGGCAGTCGCTTAACCAACTGAGCCACCCAGGCGCCCCCAGAAGTCCAGTTTAAACTCAGTTAAGAGGCCTCTGCAACTCCAAAGCACGCTAAAAAAGTAATATATTGAATCACGTAATTAAGAACAACTGGCTCTAGGGAATCACAGAGTGTTTTCAAGGCTGGGTCTCTGGTTCTTGATCCTGCTTGCTTCTGCTTGGCTTCATGTTCAGGCTTTTTCTTCATGGGGCTAGTATGGCTTTCAGCAGTTGTTGTTGGCTTAGCAACCCCCGAGGAAAGAACCCGCCGTCCTTGACAAGTCTCGCTGAACAGTCATAGGATGTCTCTGACCAGGCCTGAGTCCTGTGCTCACTCGGGGTGGGATATGGGGTTAGTTAACTACAAAACACAAATGGTGCCCTCTGAGAAAGAAGACATGATCAGAAAGGAGGTTGGGCATGGAAGAGACACACACTGGACAGATATAAACAGCTCTCTCACGATTACGTAAGTACTTTTATGTTTTGGTTTTACACAAATGAGATCATGCTGTTCATATTCTTTTTTTTTTTTTAAACTCTACAGTAAGTCCTAGCTATTCCTCCATGCCAGTATATCTAGCTGACCAGGTTCTCTTCCATGACTCTGGAGCCCTTTGGTTGGAGCCAGCGTTAGCTCTTTGGGAGACAGGGGTCAGGGATGTCAGCATTAAGTATTAAGCATATTTGTCCACAGAGGGTAGAACACATCAAATCCCTTTGCCACAAATAATTTACAGCAAAATATCTGTGTAAGAAAACAACTCTCACTGCCAATCAATCGTCCATCTATTTTTATTATTTAAATTCAATTAGCCAACATATAGTACATCATTAGTTTCAGATGTAGTGTTCAATGATTCATCAGTTGCATATAACACCCAGTGCTCATCATACCACGTGCCCTCCTTAATGCCCATCACCTAGTTACCTCATCCCCCCACCTCCTCCCCTCCAACAAGACTCAGTTTGTTTTCTAGAGTTAAGAGTCTCTCGTGGTGTTTCTCCCTCTCTGATGACTTCCCATTCAGTTTTCCCTCCCTTCCTCTATGATCCTCTGTGCTGTTTCTTATATTCTACCTATGAGGGAAACCATATGATAATTGTCTTTCTCTCATTGACTTATTTCACTCAGCATAATACCCTCCACTTCCATCCATAATGGTCCATCTATTTTTAAAGTAAGAGTCTATGAAAAAGTATTCTAATTGATCAAAATATTTTGACAGCCACTTAGAGGAGTAGGTGACATTTAATTTAAGCATATCCATGGTACTTTCTTTTCAGCTTGTCACCCTACTGTCCATTTGTATTTTTTTTACACAGTATGCACTTGTGTGGTATTTATAGCATCATTACTTTATTTTCATGTGATAATTATGGGAGGGAATTGAGAATTAAAAAAAAAAAGTTACGATGCTAGTAAGGAAACTGATCATGTTTAACAAAAAAGCCTTGGAATTGTAATTTTATTTTGTGGCAAGAGGTTTTAGGTTGCAAAGAGGGGAAACATACCAGGGCAGTAACTAATCCTGGCATGAGCTTAGTGTAGTTTTAGAGGCCATGAGTTAAATGTCTGGTATTAGAACCCATCTCTGTTGAATCCTGGAAAGAAATGTAATAAAGAGGAGAGTGGTGTTCATTTAACAGGGAAGGAAATTCTTGATGTTAAATTGGATGCCGGAACACCCAGGAGTTCATAGCCGTCCCCCCAATCTTGCTTACAACATGCTAAATCACCCCCAGAGCTGCACCTGTATTTAAACAAAGCCTTTTCTTTCTTATCCATGCTGTATTTCTCTAGGGAATCAAAATTATTTAGCCTTTCTTCACAATTTAAAATTTATATACCTTATTCATTTTCCAAAATGGCATTAGCTCTATGAGAAGCTTCAACATTGAACCAGAAGTATGTAAGTTCTTTGTGTATATACAAAGATGGATAAAATACTGTAACATCCCTGCTTTTGAAGGGCAACCAGTTCAGTAATAGGGTCAAAGTAAATTAATAATATGTCTTGAAAATAGAAATCTTTCTTATAATCCAACCATAGTTGTTTTGAGAGGATGACGGAAGAGGAATAGAAACCATGCAAGTTTAAGATCTTTTTAGCCAAGACTATAGTATGAACATAAACTGTGGAATTTTACACTTAAATCTTTTTTTTTCCTCAAGAATTTTATTAAGTATTTTTTTTTTTATTTGGGTACAGTTGAAACAATGTCACATTAGTTTCAGGTATACATTTTTATCCCATTTTGCTTTTCCAGGAAAGGATTTGAAATGATTTACAAGGTGAAATGAATGAGTAAATGAAAAAAGATAAAATTAACCCCAGAAAATAAAGAGAAGCCAGGAATAGAGTCAGAACTCAAAGCTATCAAGTCAGTCTGTAGCAATTCTATCAGGGATACATTTGTCTCTCAGCCAGTGGTCAGAGCATGGAATGAATCCATTCAGCCCAAAAATACTCACTGAACACATATTATGTGCCAAACATAAGTTAAACGTTTAACAATGACAGATTTATAGTATTTGTAAAGTAAAAACAAAACAGTTGCTCCCAATGAAACAGTTTCACCTAGAAAAATCTCCCCCATGGATTTTCAGAAGAGATACGGTACGTGTCTCTGCAATTAGGTCTAGATTCCTAAGTATTCCCTAGATCAATGCAGTTAATCCATGCAATGCCAAGTGTCATATGCTGTTCTTTCAAGTCCCTCATGCAGGCTGGTGGTATTAGACAAAGCATGTTTCATCAAAGGTGATTCGATGAGGAGTTAAAACAACACAGCTTAGGTACATAGCTCTCTGATTATCTGGCTTCATCCAAGAATAAAATTCTAGAATATTTAGAGGAAGCAGGCCGACCTTCATGCACAATTATTTGGATAATTGAACAAGTTGCCAGACTTGGCAATCAGTAAAAGGTGCTGAATCATGGGTTGGCTCTTTGACCAATCTACAGTTACCGTCTTTTTTTTTTTTTTTTAAGATTTTACTTATTTATTTGACAGAGAGAGAATGAGCACAAGCAGGGGGAGTGGCAGGCAGAGGAAGAGAGAGAAGCAGACTCCCTGAGGAGCAAGGAGCCCGATGTGGGGCTTGATCCCAGGACCCTGGGATCATGACCTGAGCTGAAGGCAGACACTTAACTGCCTGGGCCACCCAGGCGCCCCTACAGTTACCTTCTAAGCAATAATACAATCCTTCTGGGTCTTTTTTTCTTTTTCTTTTTTCTTTCTTCTTCTCCTCCTCCTCCTCCCCCTCCCCCTCCTTCTCGTGTCCAGCTTAGAGCCTGTGGTTTAAATAAGCCTGAGAATAGAATGGAAGAGGTAGTACTGCTTTCCACTTTGATGTGGGTGTCCTGTTCACCAGCCTCCGCAGGCGCAGGAGAAACAGAAGCCACAGATAGCTCTTTAAGAGTAAATCTCGACTGTAACAACGGAATGTTTAGGCAGATGTATTTATAACAGAATAAACAAAAAACTCTGAAAAATCTACCAAAATGGCAAATCTCAGTATAAATTATCACCATGATCATTTTTTGCCTTCAATTAACTTTTAATAAATGCCTGTTCTGTGCCAGATACTCTGCTAGGGAGTTCTGAAATGCTTCAAAGTTGGTGTTAGTCATTTATTTTCTCAAAATATTGTTATGGTTGTTGGGTTTGCATCCAAACCTGTGCCCTGTAAGCTTTCAGTTACTCAGTTAGAATGAAGACTTTTTGCTCTTTTGGGTAGCTCAGAATTCTAGAAGATGCCCTGCTTTCTGAGGATAGAGAGAGGCCTCACAAACTGATGCACTCAGAACTCCCCTAGTTCTGTAATTCCTCTTATTCCAAAATCTGTCATTGCCTTCTCAACTGCTTTTGGTGAATCACACTGCTGCAAGAGTAGCTCTGTCTAATTATGGCCCTTAAAAGCACAGAGCATAGAAATGGAAAACAACGCACTCTGAAATTTAGAGGAACTGTGGTTTTTCCAACCCATTGATTAACCCCGTGCTGTAAGTAGTGCCTGGAATGCTAATAGTTCATAATTTCCACCTTAATGCAAATGACAATTAAAATTACCTTGCCTTAAAAACAGAAAACAAAGCAAAAAAAGCATGCTATTCCTGATTCACATGTGCCTAACTAATTCTCAACCTAGTAAAATGAGATGGTAATTTCAGTCCTGTCTAGGTAACCTGGAATCCTTACCATGTAAATTGAAGTCTTCATTGCTTTGCTTAGGGAAAGAGATGAAAGTTAAATGGGTCACTTTGTACTGAGAGAAACTTTAACCTTGTGCAGAGACCTTTATAAGGTAG